CGACTCGTCGACGACGACGACGACTCGTACGACGACGACGACGACGATGACGACGCAACGACGACGACGACGACGACGGCGGGCGAGCAGGCGGGAGCAGCGGGAGGAGGACGGGACGCGGCTGGGCGCCTTGTCGCAGGCAGCTGACCTGGGAGGCCGTCGCGAAGGCCGCGCGGGGGAGGAGGAGGAGGAGGAGGCGGCGCTGCTCTGTCTCCTCAATGCTCCTCGCCCTCCCTCCGTCCGTCCCTCCCTCCGTTCCTCCCTCCGTCCCTCCCCCCCTTCGCCCTCCCTCTCTCTGAGAGGAGGAAAAGGTACCCATACCTCTACCCTCCTCTCGTTTTCCTTTTTTGGGCCTCCCAGGCCTCCGTCGTCGCCACCGCTGGATTCGCCTTGAAATCCTGGTCAGAACACGCCCCAGGAGAGGTCCGGGGAGTGGCGGTATCAGTACCTTTTGGTTTCCCCACGCTCCCTCCTATGCTGGCCGCTCCATGTTTTCGAGCCCGGCGTTTTCGCCCTGTTTCGGGCCCCGGGGCCCTCGCAGATCGATCCTGCGCGAAACATGTAGCAGAAAGAGGGGGTCTTGGGCTCAGGTCGTGATTTTCTACACGATATCTCATGTCTTTTCGGGCCGTCAGGGCTCAGGGCTCTTCCTCAAACGGCCCGAGGGCCGCCGCATGGGTCCCCACCCCCGTCACGCATGGGGGATCCCCGGGCATTGGGGTTAACCGGGGTCCAGGGTCCTGCGCTGGCAGCCGCTTGGGCCCGCCCTCCTTGAGGCCTGGCCCGTTGGCGCTCCTGGCCTGGCTGTGCTCTTCTTCGCATCATGAGCGAATTGCCAACGCAAAGTATCCAGGACATTACTGAATGAATGAATAAGGAGGAGGAGGAGGAGGAGAAGGAAACAAGAAGGAGGAGGAGGAGGAGGAGGTGGAGGACCAGTGTGAACCCAAGGCGCCTCAACGACGTTGCAATAGACCCTCACTGCAAGTTCCATACTAGTGTCTACAAGATTTCTTCATTGTGGTAAGTTCCCCATTTGATGAGAATCCTCAATCGTGCCAAAGCACAAGTCTTGGGATTTCAGCTCCGTGAGTCAACGTGACTGTTGCGTCCTGACAGTTCTAAGTCGCGGCGGATCAACGTGACTGTTGCGTCATGACAAGCCTAAGTCATACCCGAACGCCGTTCCTGGGACTTCGGCCGCACGAGTCCTGGAAACCGACACGAACTCTTAAGACGAAGGCACGCGGCGCGCAGGCGGGAACCACCTTTAGACAACGGCCCGCCATCAATCCATGGAACTGCCGCGAACTTTTACGACAAATGTGTGCGGTGCTCAGTCACGAGCCACACCTCGAAAAGGGGCCGCCCTCCATCCATGCAGCCGCTGGCAAACTTTAAGACGAATGTGCGCGGTTTTGAGGCGGGAGCCACACTTTGAAGACAGCCCGCCCCCCATCCGTCCGTGAAATTACTGCAGATTTCAAGCTACTTGATCCTGAATGGTGACGGATTCTCAGCCGAAACGCCCGGCCGACACGTCGGGGGGTGCGACAGGGAAGAGTTATTCGAAAGGAAAAGGGAGCGAGGAGAGGGGGGGAGGGGGGGGGGGGCGGGGCGAAACACAATCAGGGGCGGCCAACAAGGGGCAAGGAGAGGGGAAGGAGGAGTCGGGGGTCGGTAGTCGCGTCGTCGCGGGTCGTGGCCGTGGTCGCGGTCGTCGTGTATCGAATCGTTGTGCCGCTGCCCGACGCGGACGTAGTGGTCAGTGTGGCGCTGCTCGCCGCTGCTGCCGGGATCACTATCGTGGTCGTGACAGTCGTGCTGGATGATGCCGCGGCGGTGGTTGTAGTTGTGGTCGTGGGAGCCGTCGCAATGACGCTGTAGAGGGGCCTCAATGGCCGATGGGACTAAGCACCATCTCTGCGTTGCCGCGCTGGAGTTGTCGGGATAGCTGCCGCTACCCCCGGCCAAGAACCTCGCCGTGGGCCACTTCACCCTCTCCTTCCCATCCCACCACCTCCTCCCTCTCTCAAAGGCTCCTGTCTCCTTCCTCCTCCTCGTTCCCTCCGTCCTCCCTCCCTCGCTTCCTCCCTCCCTCCTCTGTCCTGCCTCCTCAATCCTGCTCCCTTGGCTGATTACGCTCCCCCCTCTCCTTGCTCCCTGTTCCCTCTCTCTTCCCTCCCCACCCTCAGGCTCCGTATTCCCTCCCCTCCCTCCCGTTCTCCTTCCTCCCTCGCTCCGCCCCCTCTCCCATTTCTCCCTCTCTCTCCTCCCTCCCCCGCTTCCACCTGCCCCCTCCATCCTCCTCAGGCTCCGCGTTCGTCCCCATTCCTCCCCTTCCGCCTCCACGATAGTCCACCTCATTCTTTCTCTAGCCATCTCCCCACCTCTTACTCCAGCTCCTCCGCCATCTCTCCCCCTGCTCCCCCTTTCCCTCCTCCTCCCGCTCTTTCTTCCCCTCGGCCTCCCCAGACATCCGGCGTCTCGATTTTTTCGAGACGCGGGCCCCCGACCTCTCGACCACTTCCCCGGGACCAGTTTTTCATCCCGAGTCATTGTTTGACGGTCCCGAGGCCCAGTGAGGGCCGGGGAGAGGCCGAAAACGATGGAAAACCTCTGTCTCGATTTTTTCGAGACGCCAGATGTCTGGGTCCCCCCCCTCCCCCCAAGTCCTCCCTATCTTTCCTTTGCCGTATGCATCCTCCTCCTCCTCCTCCTCCTCCTCCTCCTCCTCCTCCTCCTCCTGATCAGTGTCTCCGTCTCCTCGTTGCATGCGCTGCTGCCCTCTCGTGCTGCTGCTGCTGCTGCTGCTGCAGTCCTCCCTTCACTCCTCACCCTCCAAGACTTGGATGGGGCGAGGAGCATGGAAGAGGAGGACGAGGGAGAAGCAGGAGGAGGAGGAGGAGGAGGAGGAGGAGGAGGAGGAGGAGGAGGAGAGAGGAGGAGGAGGAGGAGGAGGAGGAGGAGGAGGAGGAGGAGGAGGAGGAGGAGGAGGAGGAGGGTGGAGGAGGAGGAGGAGGAGGTAGGAGGAGGAGGAGGAGAGAGGAGGAGGAGGAGGCGGAGGAGGAGGAGGGAGGGAGGAGGAGGGAAGGAGCGGCGGAGGAGGATGAGGAGGAGGACGACGAGGATGAGGGTTAGGAGGAGGAGGGGGAGGAAGAGGAGGGGGAGGGAGGAGGAGGAGGAGGAGGAGGAGGAGGAGGAGGAGGAGGAGGGGAGGAGGAGGAGGAGAGGAGGAGGGGGAGCAGGAGGAGGGAAGATGGAGAGGAGGGGAAGATGGAGGTGGAGGAGTTGGAGGAGGAGGAGGAGGAGGAGGAGGAGGCAGATGTGACTGGAGGTATCCAGTCAGTCCTGCACATCAGCCCCAAGGTAAGCTGCTGCCCCAGATTCAGTGGTCTGGCTCATAAGGCGTCAAAGCGTTGAGGCGATGTAGGCTGCACGACGTGCTCGAGCATACGCGCATGCGTTGAATGTAGCGAGTGCTTTCTTCCCCATCTGAATTTGCGCATCGAGGCTCACGTAAGGCACACCGGCTCTTTATCAGTTGTTTGTGCGAACAGGCACGCACGCAAGTAGGCGCACGACTGGCAGAAAAGAGGATTCCGCTCACGAGAACTAGCATCACTTCCCTCGTGGCGGCCATGCAACCGCAGGTGGCAGCTGCTGGATGGGCACTGCCTCTCCCGCGCGAATCTGCTTGACGCCCAACCCGTGGCAGATGATCACAAGCCTCATCTCAAACCTGCCTGTCTAGCGCTTGTTTCGTGTGTTCTCGGAGGCCCCCGCCCATACTTGTCCTAAAAGATGGGTCAGGATGCATCCTAGAGGTGTCCGGGGCAGATGTCGAGCCGGTCCTGGCAAAGAGAGGCAACCATCTCCCTCATGTTCTTTCTCGTTCTCCTCCTCTGCTCTCGCTCTTCCGTGCCTCCCTCGCCCGCATCCTCCCATGGGGGCAGGTTCAGTCCTTTTCTGAGGCGCGTCTGAACAAGTGCGGGCATAGTGCCTGCAAGTTCTCCCTGAAAGCCGCGCAGACAGCCGACGACCAAGCGTTTCCGCACCCTCCGAGGGGGGACGCCATCTGTTCACCTGGTGGAAGTGCAATTGCCCTGGCCAGGACCATCCCGCGCCCATGATCGGTGCGCCCTCATGCCTTCGTCCGGGAAGGCGCAGCACCGATCCCGAGCCCAGGATGAGCCCGACCAGGGCGGGTTGAGGGTGCGCAGTCGGCGTTTTCCTGGCCCCGCCTCGAGCCATCCTGGCTTGGGCCGCGCCGTGCGCGGCTTCTGCGGCGCTCCCCGGACGAGGCCGCCGATGCCCCTGCGCGCGGCCAGCATGTCGGGGGCGTCCGAGGGGGGGGGGGATGACCAAGGGGAGGAGGAGGAGGAGGAGGAGAGTGGAGGAGGAGGGCGGAGGAGGAGGACAAGGAGGAGGAGGAGGAGGAGGAGGAGGAGGAGGAGGAGGAGGAGGAGGAGGAGGAGGAGGAGGGGGAGGAGGAGGAGGAGGAGGAGGGGGGGAGGAGGAGGAGGAGGAGGAGGAGGAGGTGGGAGGTGGAGGAGGTGGAGGAGGAGGAGGAGGAGGACGACGAGGAGGAGGACGACGAGGAGGAGGAAGTGGAGGAGGAGGAGGAGGAGGAGGAGGAGGTGGGAGGTGGAGGAGGTGGAGGAGGAGGAGGAGGAGGAGGACGACGAGGAGGAGGAAGTGGAGGAGGAGAGGGAGGAGGAGGTGGAGGAGGAGGAGGAGGAGGAGGAGGAGGAGGAGGAGGAGGAGGGGGCGACAGAGGAGGGAGTCACGAGCGGCGAACGTATCCATATTCACGCCCTCGCAGTCTGGATTCTGGGGCGCGATCCCGTGGATGCCAGCTGCCTGTGTGCGTTCCAGCCGGGACCTCGAGACCTCCCAGGCCCAAGGGCCGCCTAAACCAGGGCACTGCCAGTGTGGAACCTCAAAATCCAACTGGGAACAACTGAATCATGGAGACCGCTTTGATCCACGGCGCGCCAATGTCCTGGCTTCTCAGCGCCCCCCAGTGCAGGAGGGCCCCGAAGATTCCGTGGCCCGCTCTTCTTCTTTCAGCACGTTCCCAGACCCCCGACGTCATGATTTTCTCATAACCTCGGCCCCCAGAGGTCTGGACCCGTTCCCCGGCGCCGGCTTCTCCTCCTGAGCCGTTCTTTTGATGGCCCCCGGGGGGCCTGGCGAGGGCCCCCCAGGGGCCGAACCGTGGAGAGACACCCTCCGGCGCGTGCTCTTCCCGGCTCGAGAGGGGGTCTGGGCCGCCCGCCCCGCCCCTCGTCCGCGCACGCGCCAGGGGCCATGGTGCGCCAAGACCCCCCCCTCGCCGGCTTGGCCCGCCTCCTCGGCGCACCCGAGCGTGGGACGCCTGGCGCTGGCGGCCGCGCTGTGCCTCGGCCTCTCGCGCGGTGGGGACGAGGGCGCGACGGGCGAGGTCGATGCCGCGGGGCTGCGGGGCACGGAGGCTCGGCTCTCAGCCGCGCGCGGAGGGGGGGGGGCAGGGGCAGGCCGGGGGGAGGGCTGCTTGGAAGCACCCCTGCTTCTTGGAAGACGCGGGCCTTTTCTGTAGATGTGGGGCTGCCGCCTGCTCAGAAGCAGCTTCCTTCTAAGAAGCCTGCTCCCCTCCACCCGCCCCGTTGTGCGCGCCGCCGCTGCCCGCAAGAGCGACCTTTCGGCGGAGTGACCTTTGGCGCGGGCCTACAAGGGGTCCCCATCACCGGCTTGCGCGCTTGGATTTGGCCCTCCTCAGGCGGACGGCGACGGAGGGTAACAAACTTGGGGTGGTCGAGGATCGCGGGGCAGTGGCCACGAAGGGACCCCGAACAGCCCCTGAACTGCCACCGCGGGCCCAAAAGGTGCGCGACATGTGCACACTACTTCACCCCACGTTTGCCGCCCCCCCGTCAACGAACACCCGACCAGGGGCCCCCGCCCAGCATCGGCGTGCGCGCTTTGATCTGGCCTCCCCCGCGGCCCCCGATGGCCGCGCATCAGAGGTCCCGGGCGCGGTTCTCTGCCTGAGCAGGTCGATCGGGCGGCTTTCGTCTCCTCTCTTCCTCCTCCTCGTTTCGGGGCCTCCTCTGATGACCCCGTGCGAGGTCCGAAGCCAAAAACACAAAAGGTCCTTTCTTGCCTGTGGGGTCGCGCTTGCGCGGCGCAGCCGGGCGAGGCCGCCCTGGTGGCCGGCGTCCTCGACGGGCGCAGCTTCTACGTCTTCGGCAAGGGGGCCTCCAAGCTGAAGAAGCAGCGCTGGCAGGTCGCTGGCGTCGTTCTGCGCGACGGCGGCGCCGGCGAGGCGGAAGGGGCGCTGCGCGCCCTCGTGGACAAGAGGAGGGTGTACGTCAGGGCCCTGCCCGAGGAGGTGCAGGCCATGCCAGCAGACGGGGCCGAGGACGGGGCGGCGAGCTCTGCGCGTGTGTGTTCTGACGTGTCTGGCCCCTGGGCAGGCCCATCCTGGGCCCAAGGTCGGAGCATACGCCTTCCTGGCGTGTGGCCAGGGAGCCATCCCGCCAGAAGGGATTGGGGGGGGGGGGGACGACGACGAAGACGAGGAGGAGGACGACGAGGACGACAATGTCGAAGGCAAGGACGAGGACGAGGGCGAGGACGAGGAGAAGGAAGAGTAGGCTGAGGATGAGGCTGAGGATGAGGACGAGGAGAAGGAGGAGGAGGAGGAGGAGGAGGTGGAGGAGGACGATGACGACGACAACGAGGAGGAGGAGGAGGATGACGACGACGAGGAGGATGACGACGAGGATGAGGACGACGACGACGTCGTCGCCCCCCCATCCAATCTGGGGGGGCGGGGGGCAGAGCGAAGCCCTGGGGCCCATCCGAGCTGGGATGGGAGGGGCCGAGGGCCCCTCGAGCCCGGGCCCCGGAGGAGCCCGGCCAATGGGGGCGCTCTCCGCCCGCTCTCTGCAGGAAGGCGCCGAGGCGCTGCTGGCCGACGTGTGGGACGCCGACGGGAGGCACCTGGGGCGGCTGCTGGTGGAGGGCGGGAGCTCAGAGGAGGAGGAGGAGGCAGCTACCCATGCCTCTACCCTCCGGCCGTTATTTTTTATGTTGTTGGGCCCCCAGGGAGGCCCTCGTCGCCGCCGCTGGATTTGCCTCGAACGCCTGGTCAGAGCGCGCCCTGGGAGAGGTCCGGGGAGTAGCGGTAGCAGTAGCGGTAGCGGCACCTCTTGGTTCCCCCAGGAGCGCCTCCGCCGAGCTGGATCCGTCCGCGCCGCGGTCGGAGCTCTTCGGGAGGGACGCCCGCCCCTCGGCCCTGGGCGAGGCGGCCGCGCGCTCGGCGGAGGAGGCGCAGGAGAGGGCCGCAGCGGAGAAGGAGGAGGCCATGAAGGAGATCGCGGACGCGGCGGGCAAGGTCTTCGAGGACGCCGCCGTGGAGAGGGAGGCAAGGCAGAGGGAGGCGGCCGCGAAGGCGGCCGAGGAGGCGGAGGGGGCGCCGGGGGGTGGCGCAGCGCTGTGCGCCGGCGCAGGCGTCGCCCTGGCGATCGTGGCGTGTGCGGCCGCGAACTTTGGCAGGCCGTCTTGGGGGAGAAACGCACTCCGTCGCCGATGACCTTCCCCGCTTTTGCTTTTTTGGGGTCTTCCTGGCGGGACCTCGCCGTCGGTGCTGGATCCACTTCGGAATCCTAGTCAGAGCGCGCCCTGGGAGATGTCTGGGGAGCAGCGGTCGGAGGACTCCAATTGTACAACATGCCTGTCCTGGCCAGGCCCATCCTGGGCCCAGGATCGGTGTGTGTGTGTGTGTTTGTGTGTGTTTGTGTGTGTGTGTGTGCCTATCGCCTATCTGGCCAAGCCAGGAGAGCGTATGGCACAGGGTGGTCCGGGTGGGCCGTAGCCAGGACCGGCATGATCTTTTATCGTCGCCTCCCTGAGCGGGATCGGCTTCGTTTTGTGTCCCCAAGGCCGACGAGCAAGAAGGTCAACCTGAATCGCAAGCGCGGCTGGCTGGAGCAGCAGCTGCGGAAGCTGAAGGGCAGCTGAGCCGCCCAGAGGCCAGGCGGATGCCCGACGCAGCTGGGACAGCGAGGAGGCTCCCCCACGCGAAAACTCAATCCTTCCCCAGAGCCATGGACTGGGGCTGCGCCTGGGCAGCCCCTGGAGGTTGCCCCAGTCTGTGGCCAGCCTCGACACCCAGGGGCTATGGTGGCGGCGGGGGTGTCAGAGCGCCCCAGGCTGCCCCGGGGGCCTGTGGAGGCCCGCCTGGACTGCCTCCCTGGGGGGGCGCACGCTGCCTCTTGATGCTCGTCGTCAGCGTTTTCGCCGTCACCTCCCCCTCCCTCCTTTCCCTCCCCCTGCCCCTCCCCCTCCCCCCCCTCCTCCTCCGTGGCCATTTTGGCTCAAGGTGTGTATCGCCCGTGGCAGGCCACGGAGACCGTTGGTCCAGGAATCGATTCGGACTGCAGATTTCGCCTTCCTTGCGCCTGCGTGGTTCTACTTCATATCCATAGCCACCGCATTCGCCTGCGGCTGGCGTTCATATTTCGCGCGCTCCTCCGAGGCTGCCGCGGGCTTCGCAATATGAGATCACTTGGAGGAGATGACTCGGCCGCCAGACGGCTTTGCTCCCCACGAGCCTGGAGAACACGACAAGGCCAATATTCCTGGGCTGCAAGTGCAAGCGCACTTCCTGCCTATGAGCTACGTACCCGCCCATGTGCGCAAATGTGTCGAAGACACATGGGAAACACATCAAATTCTAGACGCTTCGCGTCATTCCTGGCCACGGTGCCTGAGCTCGAATGCGTGGCTTCCTGCTCTCCGTTCCTGGTGGCGCGCCGCTTTCTGGGTTGCCCGGCAGTGGAAGCGCCCTCGCCAGTGTGATGCGCGGTCGCAGGTACAGAGCCGATCAGGCGTTCCTGGCGTGCAGGACCTAATTCCATCTTTGGCGTCCTATTGCCTCAGACTTGCACGTTGCATCAGCTTCCCAGGGAGTTGCAGACCACCCAGCCAGTTCCACCAGCAGCAGCCCCTCAGCCGCCGTTCCTGAGCGCTGGCCCGGCCAACTTGCGCGTCGCTCAGTAGCTAATTAGGCTGGCCCGCGCCCCGGACCCCCCTGTCGGCGACAGCTTCACGCGTCTGACCGCGACCAAAAAGTATCCCCACCAGCCCATCCAGAAACGATGTCCAGGCGAGTTGAAGTGACCAGGGAAGTGCGGCAGCAAAGAGGTGGACGGCCGAACCGTGCAAAGGAGTGAGGAGGAGAAGGAGGAGGTGGATGGATGGATGGATGGATGGATGGATGGATGGATGGATGGATGAATGAACTGGTGGGAAGAAGGAGAATGAATAGGATGAGGAGGAGGCGGAGGAGGAGGAGAAGGAGGAGGAGGAGGAGGAAGAGGAGGAGGAGGAGGAGGAGGAAGAGAAGGAGTCGGAGCAGGAAGGAGGAACAGGACGAGGAGGAGGGCAAACGCAAGGGCCAGAGGTCTCTTGGATGCCTCTTGGAGCCTCTTGGAGTATCTCTTGGGCGATTCTTGGTGGCCTCTTGGGACGAGGCTATAATGGGGCCAAAACCATAGTAACATCAATGACTGTGGCTTCCTCGCCGAGGCCGTTTTGGACGCTCTAGCTACCCGCGGCGCCCCCCGTCCAGGTCCAGGGGATGGGGTAGGGGGAGGGGTAAACCCGTCCCCGAAGGGGAAGAGGGAGAGGTGGAAGAGGAAACGCCCTAGACCACCGAGGCCCAGAGGGCTGGTGGGATAAGCGGCCGCCAGATTCGAAATCATAGCCAAATCCGTCACCGCAGCCGCCAGCAAGGAGTCCCTCGAGTCGCCCGCCTCCATCACGTCCGATCTCAGCAGGAGGATGAGGCCACGGAGCGCACCCTCACCGACGTCACCGTTCGCACTTCAGTCTGGGAAACGCAGAGCGCGGAGTTCAAGCCACTGGTTGCCAAGCTGAAAACCACTTCTCACAAACAGAAGCTCGTGCTCTTGCCTTGCCCTCGATTTCGGCAACATCGGCACTTCGGACAGAGACCCAGATCCTACGACGTGATGGTGCAGCAGCCGGCAGGAGTTCATATAGCCTCAACTGGAACGTACTCTCGGCGACTGATACCAGAGATCTAACTTGGATACAGCCCACGTCGTCTTCAACTTCGTCGGCCTCGCCAAAACTCAACTCCTTCCAGCTCAGCAAGTGCACAGTGTTGGCAGAGCCTCGCGCACAACACCTCCATGCCGTTCTTCGCAATGGTTTAGACCCGAGATCGGTTCCGATTGCTGGCGAGAACATCACCTTTTGCCCTTTGACGTTTCTGCCGACAAGGGCCTGGAGATGGTCGGCCTAGAACTTCAAGCCAGGCGCCTCCCCAACATCATGCAAAGCAGAATGCCGGTCATCGACATCCGCGTTCACCGGTTTCTCATGTACGTCTCCACTCGCGGTGAGGCGCGGGCGCGTCTTCGCATGTGCTCCTCTGCTGAAGCCCCCGCCCGCCTGCAGTGGTCCAGCGATGGGGTGGGCCGTGGATCCAGCGAGGCTCTTCCGCGCGCCATCAACGCGGAGTTCGCCGACAACTTCGCGGACGCCATCGCAGCTGCGCGGTGGCTTTAGCCATCGCTGGAGCCCGTGCCTCCTGAAACCCTCGCAGGAGGGCCTGGGCGTCGCTTTCTGGGGCACTCGGGCTCCCCATGTATGGGCTGAGTAACGCCGCGACGACGAGCGCCGTCTTCTTCCCCCAGACTTCCGCCAAAGAGTTTTACTAGCATTTCACGAAGTACAAGGCACCATCGCGAACCTGCAGTTGTACGCCAATCAACGCAGCATGCATGCACGCCCTTCTGCTCGCCCGCAACCGTGGATGGCGAGCCCGCCACTAGCGCGGGCGGCGTCGGCTTCCTCCCGCCGCCCGACAGACGTGAACCCAGGCTGCCACCAGAACAGCGGCCTTCACACTGGCTTGAGGTCGTCATCCCTGGCCGCGCAGCCTGGCTGCGCGTCGCGGATGCCAGCCCGCGGCGCGACGCCGCCACCCTAGCGTCCACAACCGCGGTCTCTCCCCTGCTTTCGTCGGCGACTGCAAGCGCGACTGCGAGCTCGGCGACTGCAAGCCCGGCGGCCCCATGCTCGCGAACGACCGCAGCAGCGGCTGCTCGCGAACGTTGGCGGCTGCAACGCCGCGGAGTTCGCGCCCCGCCCCGTCGATGCCTCCACCGACGCGGACACCGCAGCTGCGCGGACACCACAGCGGCATTTTGGAGGGCCCTGTTCCTCGGCGCTACCGTTATCGCCGCGGCGCGACCGCGCGCGGGCCCAAAGCCATTGTGAGCGAGCCCGTGATCGACCGACACTTCGCCGACCTGCCCAGCCAAGTCAGGCCGATCGTGAACGCCGTCTACGTCGCCGACGACTCGCCGCTCGAGGACAAGGCAGGGCCCGACTGGAGACCGCGAGATCATGCACTACCGCGTCCGTCTGCGCAGGCCGAGACCACCCCGCGGGCGCGCGACCCCAGCGTCCATGTTACAGTTCGATTCTGCCCGCTACGGTCACCGTGCCAAGCACATCCTCGACGACATAGACACGACGCGGATGAACCCCGGCACGAAGTGGAGGTCGTTGAAGGCCCGCATGCAAGTCGCTGCCGCGGAGATTCGCGATGCGGCGACCAAGATCTTCGCCGCCGTGCCATCGTCGCAATCTGCCCCACTCTGCCGAGAAACGCGCACCATGACCCTCCAGCATCACTGGGGCGATCTGGTGCCAGAACACCACCCTCGCCGCGATGCTCATCGACGGCGCCACAGTGGAAATGATCCGCCTCCGCATCGTGGACGGCAAGGTCGTCATCAACGACATGGCGCATTCACTTCTGCCACAGATGCCGCGCGCGCCGCCCTCGGCGACGCGCGGGCAGCGAGGCCCGCCGCGCGCTCGCGCGCCGCTTCCGCCGTCAACGACGTCGCCCTCGGCCCGCGAGCCAAGCGCGAAGGACATCGCGGCGAGCTATCAGAACCCTTCTCGCGGCGGCCGCTGGCCCCTCGCCCGGCCTCGTCGCGGACCCCGTCCGCGATGCGCCGGGCCGTCGTTCAGCGCTGGGCCCCTGCGTGCGCAGAGAAGCGAGCCGACGCCAACTTCCTGACCGAGTGCCTGGATTCCGCTTACCACCGGCGCGCGCTCGCCGACCTGGGCGCCCCCGCAGCTGGGTCGCTCGCGCACGCGGCGCGCCTCGCAGGGGGCTCTGCCCCTGGCCCCGACGGCAATCTTTTCCGCGCCTGTTTGCGCGCGCCACGCAGCGGCAGCGCCCTCGCCGATCTCGGCGCTGACATCGCCTCTTGCTACAACGCAGTTGGCGACCTCAACAACTCTCTCGCGGCCATGCCCCCCCGCGGCAGGCGAGCCTCTCGGCCGCGCGGAGCGCGCTTGCGCTTTCCCGACTGTTTTGGCCTACTTTCAATGAAGAGCGCCACCGTGAAGTTGTTGGCATAGGCTGCCCGTCGTCGGCCCTGACCACTGGCCATTCTGACGGCGCCCGAGCAGCAGGGGTCCGTCAGCGGCTGCCAGTTCTGGACCAGTGTCGTTCTTGTTGGCGACGAGGCTCGCGGGCGCAGTTTGCCTCCCACGGCTGGCGCCGACGTGCCTGTCTTGGTCAGCGCGGGCGCTGGCCGACCAAAAGCGCGGCCCGTCCGCGAAGTGGCGGGGCCGCGTCGGGAAGCCAGCCATCTCGCGCGCTCCGCTACAGCAATGCGTCAAGCCGTGCAGCGCCGCGGCCGTCACCAGCCACGTCTGCGCCGGCCCGCTCATTGAGCCGCCCAACGGTATCTATCTGGGGGCGCCGAGCCATCCGCGCGCTGCTTCGCGCCTCCCTGTCCAGCGGCGCGAGATCTGACGCGCTCGCAATGGCTCTTTGGGCCAGGACCGAGATCCCGAGCTGCATCGGAACGTTCCTGGCAGCAACAGCGATGAGGGCAGCGATAGCCAGCGTGGACCATTGCGACAGAGTGGAGGACAGCATGGCCGACGCATCGGGGCGCCAC